CATCTCTCTCTTTCGGTTGCCGTTTTTGTCATGGAAACTAATTCAAGTTTAACCGAACGAGAGAAATCATGAGCATTTGCCAACGGCAGCACAACAACGCAACTGAATTGAAGAAGTGAAAAAAAAACACCAGAACGAAGAAAGCATTTGAAAGTAGCGAACAATAATGTAATTCATATTTTATGGAGAAACTTCTGTTCAATGCCACATCGTCTTCAACGCAAAAACTATTCATTTCGTAATATTATACTGTATATTTTGATATTACCTTCAAAGTTGGCGACGGCGGCGGTAGTGATGACGGTAACAAGAAAACAAGGCTCTATTTCGTCCGAACTTGGTGATTAGTTTGTAGAATAAATGGAACAAACAAATAACACAAATCCGTTGGCTCAATGTCAGATAACATCAAAACACAAGTCAAACTGACATGGCTTATGTTTCGGCAAAAAGTTATCCCGTTCATGATAGATTTGTAGCTCATCCAAAGCATCGAAAACGCAAAGTGTGTACACACCGAAAACTTTCTCCAGCAATGTGTATTTCCAGCTTCACATCAATTGAAAGTTTATCTGTTAAAACTATCGACTTATTTTTGGTGTTATCTGCAAAATTACAACATTCGTCATATTTCGAATCCATTGGCTCAATCATAAATTGCCGACTCACCGAAAATTCGACATGGATGCGATAAATACCATTTGAATAAAGCTGAGAATGATATTGTGTTCAACTTGTAATATGCATATTTATTGATGTTGTTAATATTTCCTTGGGCCCATCCCCATTTCCATGATGACCAGAAATCGAAAACTATATCGAATTCATTTCGAGCTCGGATTGAATACAAGGGAAACTTTGAAGTGGTACTTGGCAAGTCTACCTGCGTCACTTCGAGTGCTCATATTTCAGTCGGAGAACGGCAAGAAATTGGGATATCTCATTTTGGCATCGTTTTAACGATTCGATATTTCTTCAAGTGTTTTGCAAGACATACGACTCGTGCAACAAATTCAATGTTCTTCTCGTTGGAGTGTGCGTCAAACCGATATAATCAATGTCGTTTCATGGTCGTAAATCGAGATTATAAGTTGCTGTCGCTTTTATTTTTGACATGATTTAATCGGTACCGACGGTTTGAGAGGTTGAATAAAATGAGCAAATATTCGAATTTTCCAGTGAATTATCTCTTACACTCTGGGTAGTGTATAATCCAAGAAAAAAGTTTTCTTTAAAAAAAAGGAAATAATTTCATAAATTCGGCAAATAAGAGAAATTTGTCTCTTTACTCTATTCATAAAACACAGTATTTGCTTATTTTCTGCCAACTTTCCATCAAAAGCCAAAAAAGGATTCCGCCAGGAATGAAGCTTATTTTCAGTCGGTTGCATTATTGTTTATTTACGACTTTGATTGTTATGACAAAATATGCCAATTAAAAAATTAACAATTCAAATTGTTGGGCAAACAAGTTGGAGATTTTTAATGGAATCATGCAAAATGTTCATTCGAATTAAAAAGTGCCAGCGACAGCTGATCTCAAAATAGAAAATATTCCATTGTGTCAGTTGGGTTAGTTTTCTGGTTTTGATGCTGTGCAATTTGGCCATACGCTGTCATACACATATCCTATTCCGTTTGGACCGGTTCCGTATGTGGTTTACGAGAGGAGTGGAGGAGAGCAAACAAAAATGTTATATGCATTCCATAACATGCATTGCGAATTGAATAGCGCGAGCGGTTTCAAATATGCCAACGCTGTCAAAATCCAACGACGACGACGAGGACGACTTATTTGTATGTTGTGTTTCATTTGGTAAACTTAACTTTGCAATTTAAAATGTAAATGTTTTCCGAAAATTGAACGAAACTTTTACGATTTTGTGTACCGAGTGCAGAGAGCAATCGGTTCGGTGCGGTTGTGTTAAATGCAATTTTGTTTGATTTCCGTTTACAAATTATGACGCACTAATACACTTAAAACTTCAAAATCGGCATATGCACCCACCATCAAACTTGCTGATATGGATGGTCGCTAGTGTGTGTGTCGCTGTTGTTTCAGATTCTTCACTTTGGCAACTTGGCTACGGAAACATCGTTTCGAAATAAGAATAAACATAAATAATGCATTTTGTTAGTTTCCACTACGGAAATATAACTAAAACGGAACCCACAAAATTATTACGAATGTGTTTGTTCCACTCGTTCGGTTTTCACAGGCGAATTTAAACATTTCCATTTTTGGTGAAGTTCCGTCAATTTTCTATTTATGTTTTTGTTTTGACGGCAAATGTTTGCTGTTTTTAACCAGTGCCGGTATTCTACAACACATTCCGAACACTTTGTTCGGAACGTTCAATTGCATTTTGGAAGGTGGATATCAAACGTTCAATCAATAAAATAGATACAAATCCATATATAACGTTTGATAGCCACCTTCCAAAATGTAATTGAACGTTCCGAACAAAGTGTTCGGAATGTGTTGTAGAATACCGGCACAGAAAAAGAAGGATCGGGGTTTGCAGCAATTTTGCAACGATTTTGCGGTTAATTCACATGCTTAATATCATACTTACGGAGATTATGTTTTCCCATTTCAACGTCATGAGCATTAGTTTTCCGAACGGGACACGTTTTTCAATGTACATATTCATATAGCTTACCTTCACGTGCCGAACGCCACCCTCCTACATTGTGTTCTTATTACTTGACATAAGTAGACCTCTCATCCGGCCGGGAAAAGTCGGAAAAAACACAAAAATCCCGACATTTTGAGACAAAAGATTCCCGTTTTTTTCTGTTTTTGAGTCCATTTTCCCGACATTTTTGAGTTAATTTGATTCCAAGAATTTATTGTACAATTCAAGTCAAATTATAGAAGTTACATTTAGAAATCGCGCATTTTTTTTTGTCAAATTATGAAACATTCTCATTCTGCTCACCAGTACTACTATACTATATGTTACAGCTTATATTCTTATTTGCAAAACGTACATGTGAATACATGTATAGTTTCGATGAATTTCGATTTCTGTTAGACTAAACAATGATCCGTCGTTGAAAATACACAGCAATTATCTGTATTGGCAAAAGTCTAATAAAACCTCAAATTTATTTGTCACTTGTATAGAGTAGTTCATCGTTTGCTGAGCAGTTCGTATTTTTGTTTTTGTTTATATTGTTTATCTCATAAACCAATGACTGCAAAAACAGGCACAGCCGAGAAATTACGATTCCGCACCGATCAATAATTATGATGAAGCAATGAAATTCATCGCTTCTCATTTGTGGTCGTTCTTTTATGTAATTCAATTGCTCAGTGTGTTTGACACTAATAGGTCGTTTAGCATTCACAACAGTTTAGAGTTAAAGTGAATAAAGAAAAAAAAATCAAGCAAATCTGTTGAACGTTTTCTCACTAAAGCGTGGAGCATTCTGAATTTGAATTGAAACATATTTTTCGAAGTATAGTTCCATTCCAACAGCTTATTTAATAACAAGATTAAATAAATTTAAATCGCTCTGAAAAGATTTTTGAATCGATACCAATACTTTTATGTTCGCTTAGGCACGAGTTTCTTTACTTTGCTTCATCAAAGAATATGAAAATAAAGATAACAAACGATAATACGTGTATTTTGAATTTGATATTTTTATGAATATATGATTATTTTGTGTTTTTCTAGGCAATTTTGACTTCCCGACTTTTCCCGATATTTTTTTCACGAATTCCCGACATTTTTTCCAATTCCCAACAAAAATTCCCGACATTTTGAAAATTTACGATGAGCGGTCTAGACATAAGTATGGTTTCTTTTTATGACTTATATGTGTGTTACCTTTTTTGCTAAAGACACCTGCCAGCCGCTCTTCGTAATTTTTCATCCCAAAATCCAATCGCAATCTTATTGCCAACACAAAATGACTCACTCTTCTCTTCTTCTTTCTTTTTTATTGAAACAAATTAACGGAAAACCCTGATTATGATGAGTCTAACCTTTTCAAATGCAGCGTAATCAGTACACGAGTTTGCCACCAATTAATTTCAATTAACTTCTTTTTCGCATGAACAAAATGTCATCGAGTGTGTGTATGTGTGCAAGCGCGAGACAAGCATTGCAAAATTGCTCCATAAACACACAAAGCCCAGATTAACGGGGCTTTATGAATCCAAAAGAATCTCTATCAACGAGTTCAACGATGATGATAAGAAAAAAAACGAGAGCGATATAATCTGCTTTTTACTGCGTGGTTTCATTACCTCGAATGCCGAAACTGCAATTTTTCGAATAGTTGGTCGTTGAGATTTTCGCCCAGTTGAACGCTAATGATATAAAACGACTGGGCGGAGTAGGAGAGAGAGAAAGAGAGTAAGGAAGAGTGAAATAATTTCCTAAGCGAAAATTCCATATGTGCGACTGTGTACATTTTTCGTGGTGAAACATGTGTTGAGTGGATTGCGCCATGAGGTGGAAACTATATTTGAATACGGATACAATGAAACCGCAGGTAGAAAACTCAAGCAAAAAAACACACTTACAAAAGCCCAATAGGTAATTGACATTTAATTGAAACTTTGCTATGGCTGTGCACAATTTTCCAGCTAGCACAATGCTAACATTTGAAAAACTGCTGAAGAGTGAAATTTGATGGTGTTCGCTACAACGATATGCACTTGAGTTTTAATTCTAGGTGTTCTCTATCGCCAACGCATAGTTTTCAATTGCAAAAACTTTTCCACATTGAAATTCATAAGTCATGAATACCGGCGAAAGAAATATAGTCTCTCGAATTAAACCAAAGCAGCAACAACAACGAGAAACCAAAAGTGAAAGAAAAAATTGTAATTTGTTTTGGAAACGAACAAGTCAATCAAGGTTATGCTTCGAGGTTTTGTCCATGATTTCATCTTTTATCTACCGTCCAGAGAAAAGCAGTGCCGGAAGCTCGTTTGCAACTACGAAAAAAGAAAGAAAAACGCATTAAGTGAAAAACTGCATAACTCACTTTTAATTGAAAAGCGAAAACTTGAGTACAAAGTGAAATGGTTTCATGTTTGGGAGTGTGGTTTTTTTTGTTCGCCTCCTCCACTGTAACAGAGAAACAAAAAAAATTACGAACTAGAAATAAAAACGCGAACGCGTGATATAATGGTGCGATGTGATTTATACCGAGCAAAGAGAGAGAAGGGCGAAGAGTGGCTAAAAGTCAGTAGAATGTGTTACACTTTGCTCGCTTTCAGCCAAACACCACCCGACGGCAATAATAGTAACGAAACATTATCAATTTTAATTGGAATTTTCGTTTTAGCACAAGTTTCAAATTGAAAATGTTTCAGCAACATGGCCAATCCGAGTTTCGTCTGCAGCATGCCAAAGCGAACGCCGATACAAATGCGCGGCCCCTCTCCGAATGGCAAAAAACTGAACGAGTGCCGTTTCGATTTATTTGCATCGCTAAAGCGGTTCGGATCAAAGCAATTCGGATCTGGAAACAATTCAGCATCATTGTGGAACGCAACAGCCGGAACAATCACATAAGTACCCTTTGGTGCGACGGCACCATTGGGAAGTGTATAATCCTTGCTAATGATTCGATGAAGTGTACCAACAGCTGGATGCATTCGCATCGTTTCTATGATGATTTTGCGTCCGGAGTTCATGTCGTTGGTGTGCAACGGGTGGAATTTGAAAATGGAGAAAAAGAAAAAGAAATCGATAGGGAACAATCAAAAATGAAATGTAAAGTAAATTTTAAATAGCACGTCACGAATGGTGAAATGTGCTACGGATTGTTGCGTGAGCACACATCACAAAACTATCGAATTCATTTCCACTTTGCGTTTTGATCAACTCACCGTAAATCACTTGGTCCAAATAGGTGCACTCCATTAAGCTGTCGTAGGTGATTTTACCATCGTGCCGACTAAGAACGTCATTCAATTCGGCGCGTACTTTATCCTGTATCACCCTGTTTAATGCGAGCTCATAAAGAGCATAAGTCATGGCTGTCGATGAGGTTTCAAAGCCAGCAAAAAAGAATAAAAACACTTGCGCTGCAATATCCTTAAGTGATAGCCCGTCGCCGTCACCACTTACACCGTCTTCCTCTTCTCGATATAAATCAATCATCAGCTGCATAAAATCGCGACGTTCGATTTGTTTTTCTTTGCGCTCTTCGATGGTTTTTTTGCACATTGCGATTATGAATTTTGATACGTCGTTGTGGAGCAAACGAAAACCGAGCGCTCGTGCCTGACGCCGAAACAGCATTGCTGCATAGAGTTTTAGCAAACGGATCCGTGTGAATGTCAACATTTTTTTACCCACCGCACGAAATTCGGATTTTGGATTCGATAAACTGTCGCATTGTGTACCGAATGCACATGACACTATGACGTCGGTGTTATAGCGCGCCAGCAAATCGGTGATTTCAACAATGAATTCACTCTTTGAACCACCACTGTTGCTGCTGTTGTTACTGTTCCATTTCATTTGTAAATGCTTTACCATTTCATCGGCCACATCGTAAATGGTGAAGAACATGTTTTTGATTTTGCCACTGCTAAAGGTTGGCGTCATCTTAATGCGCAAACGACGCCAATCACTGTTCTCAATGAAAAACAAATTAGCCGACAATGGATCGTCGTCTTTGTTAAAATACACACCACGATTCACAAAATACTGGAAATCACGAACTAGCACGGTTTTCGCAAATTCGGGCGTTAGTACAAACAGAACGGGCTTATTCAGAAAGTATAAGCCAACGTAGTCACCTTTTGACTTGAGCTTTTTATACAAATCAATTGCCATTAAGCCAAAATTCATGTACGCCATACGAGAGTCGAGATGCCCTGATGGAAACGACGGTGGAATCGTTGGCACTCCTTGTCTCGACCACAGCTGATAAGACTGCTGAAACCGAATGTAAACATATAGCACAAATAAACCACCGAGCACTGCACTTAAGAGCAGAAAAGTCAACATTTTTCTTGAGATATTTGCTATTTGCCGAGGAAAAAAAATCACTTAGAAAATTCCGAACCGAAGACCCTCGATCTCAATCACACACAAAAAAATCGAACTGATATGAATTGATTGATACAACAACTCGATGATGAAATAGAGAATTTTTATGGTCGACAAGATGTTCAACTGAATCAACGACGCGACATGTCTAGTCGATTTCCAATATAAGAATGTTCAATTCGACGCTTCAACAACAATCCCACAGTACGCACAATTGAATCCGCTTCAATTGCTTTCTATTCAATTTAGTTTCAGAATGTCATTTTGCCATTTGTTTTTGAAGTTGTTTTCAATTCCGATCGAACTACTACGTCAAACACACTCACACGCTCACCAGACACCGAGCGTATTAAGTCTGGGCTAAAACTTGTTGACTGCCACTGTGATTCGGACGGATTTTAGTGCGACTATATGAAAGGAAAACAAAATGTAAAATTGAATAGAATTGCATTGGAATTCGTTTCGTGCATGCAATTGAAGATTCAATTTCGATGTGGATTATTTGGTTTACTTATTGCGAGACGCTCGAATGACATTGCCTGCCAATTTTATTGATATTTGAAACCATACAATTTTCAGATCGTTATGAAGCCACACAAAATATCACCACAAATTCGGCCAAAATAGAATGAAAAAATGACCGAAAATATCTGTGAATAAAAACGGTATATTTGGCTACCAGTGCCCGTAATCGTCCGATTTTATGAAGTCTACAGAAAATATGTTCGTCATTTGGTATGATTTTTCAAAATAAAGAAAAACAGACACCAGATGTGGTTGACATTCAAAGTCCCATCTTATTCGTGAGGTTAAATTAAAGAAAAGGAAATTATTTGTGACATTCGTCTACCGAATAACGTACATTTCAATTAATCCGCAGTTATTTTTAACTTTGATCCACATAACTTGGCCGATTTTCTGAATGAACTACTTACAACGGAATGCAATGATTCATTAATTGGCTTCAATTGACTTGGTTCGGATGATTTTTAAAACTGATAATCAATTGCGTGCATCATTTGATAAATCTTTATGCACTCGTAGTTTTTCGTACGTAATCGACGCTATTCTTCAAATACTATTGATTTCATTTGAAATAATGGCCATTTTTTCGCTCCCCGTGTGGAAAAAAATGACTGACTGACTTTAGATTCAGTTGACTGTAGTTGATTGAATTTATATTTTTGTATGAAGAAAATCACTTTGTCCCAAAATAAGCAAATTATTTTGACTTGTAATTTTGAATGATTTCAGTTAACTTTGATAGACTTACACTACACGTTGCACTGAAATTTCAATCAAAGTAAGTCATTTTTGTCCGAAATTAGTTAACAGACTGGTCAGTTACAATATTCGCACACGGGTCGTAATCCATCATTTTATATATTGTATTCGCACCGGATTTTTGTATATTACTTCTCTTACAGTTCATTGAGTTTTTTTTTTCATTTTTCGTTCAACACTTGAGCATTGTTGTATGGTTCACTAGCGAATTATTACCCAGCATCCCAGTGGCATTCACAGTAGCAGTTGCAGCCATTTTTGCATTAAGCCAATATTTTTTATGGAACACCCAAGACTTGGGTCCCAATTGCTGAAGAACTTAACAAAAGATGCGAATTGAAACTGTTTTCTGACTGTTTAAATATTAAAAAAAAGACAGTATTCAAATGCAATACAGAATTGAAAATCAAACATTGGAAATCCTAGTTTAAGACGGATTTCGGCATTTTTATTTGTTATTCAAAAGCTCTTAAATCAAATACTCGCTCTAAATTGATTAAGAATATTCTTGTTCTGATGCAAAATACGAAAAAATAAATTGTATTAGAATAAGAAGTCAATGAATCACCATTAACATTATACTAAATTATTTAAACTGATACAGAGTTTATGATTAATTGGTGTTAAGAATCTTTCTCATTCGATTAATAATTGATAAAATGCTCGCAACCATTTAGTTAGTGAATATTACAGTGATAACCTTGTTTACTAACATATGTGAACTGCGTGTTTATGTGTTTTGAAACTTTATGCCCATAGTGCGCCGTTGAACTCGTAGATGGCATTGTACGACGTACAGTGTACGTTCTATTCACTCTGTATCAGTAAAAATAACATATCGCCCGTTTAAAATCTTAACAATTTAGATTATTGTGCATGGACACATCGTAACATTTGGCTTTTTTACAACGGCACGTACAGCTTCTAGGAATACAGCATCAATGTTTTTCTTCTCTATTGCCGAACACTCGATCAGGGCCTTTGCTTTGATTTTCTGCTTCAACTTCTTTGCTTCGTTCAAAGTCACGAATTTTTCTGAATTAGGATAGCGTAGATCGCTTTTTGTACCTGAAATATCGAGCATCGTGTTAATAGAGCGAATATTTCCACGAACAGTATTCACTAAACACTATCTCCCCATTATTCGGTTTTATGAACATTCAAGTTTGCTGTGAATTTAAGTTTAAACAACACTCATCTATGAATCATAATATGAATCATACTACATGATTTTTCGTGAATCAATTGAATAGTATTCAATGAATTCTCACCAACAAGGATGATTGGAACACTCGGTGAGCAATGCTGAATTTCTGGGTACCATTTTGAGAGCACATTGTTGAAGGATGCTCGGTTGGATATCGAATAACAAATAATGAAACAATCAGTATTTGGATAGCTTAGCGATCGCACTCGATCAAAGTCCTCTTGTCCTATATTCCAAAATGAGTAAACAAATTAATTTTTAACTTGAATTTAAATTCCGATTGCGAACGGCAACAAAATTCGTGCATACCGGCTGTGTCCCATAATGTGAGCGTATAGTCTTTGCCGTCAACGGAGAGGTTGCATGTGTGGTTTTCATACACCGTTGGCACATATTCCTCTGGAAACTCATTTTTGGTGTGTGTAATGAGCATACACGTTTTTCCAATCATACCATCGCCGATAGTTGTTATTTTCAGTGGCGGCATTTTATCGTGATTTTACTATCAGTGACGGTTGCTGCTTTTTATCTTTTGTCTACTTCCGTTACTTTCGCGTTTTATTTTCAACTCGTTCGTTCTAGAACTTGCCCTGGGTAATAAATTACGAAATGCACACACATAAAAAAATACCGGTCGGTTTTCAGGACGCAATTCACACCGCTGAAAAATGATAAATTTTAATTTTTTTTTACATTTTTCGAAAGAATTAAAGAACAAAATATCGAAAAGTCCAATGTTTGTATGTTATGTTTGAGAAAATTGATTCCAATTTTTATTTTCATCTGTCGAGATATGGCAGATGTAAAGGGATCGACTCTCCAACGATGTGATTATGGAGATATTTGAAAATTTAAGAAAATGAAATAAAATCAAATGACTCACAATTCTCAAAGTAAGTGAAAGACGTCAATGGAGCACATATCTCGATCAAATGTACTTCAAAATCGATGCAAATGCATGTTTTTGTTATTTGATAAAGAAATATTATAAGAGTCTTTAATGCTTTATGAAATCAATGTCGAATTTGATAAAAGTTCTTATTAAAATTAATTCAAGATGTTATTTCAATCACTAACATATCACCATCGAAAATACTTTGCCAAAATTAAGTTGAACGTAATTAATTTATGGAAAAAAATGAACACAGCAATTAAATTCACATTTTGTTTTAAAAAAATATCAAGAGAACAGAACTTTTCTTTCAAGTCAGTTCTCGTGTTGACAGCCAAAACAGAACTAATGATATTCACTCGAATAAATCTTTGCAGAAAGCATGTATGGAAATGGGAGATAAGAGTATCGAAATAAACAAGTTCAAATCGCACTGAAATTAATTTCTTGAATTGGATACCACCATTTTTATGTGTTGAAAAGAAGTTTTTTTCAGTCATTTTCTTGATATCAGTAATTCTGTGATATGATTTCCATTTATTTTGAATTCTGTTATCGGTTGAGTCATGCCTCTAACCAAAAGCAAGCAATAACACTGGAAAGAATCACACATGAAAATGTCGTTTTATAAAAATGAAAATGTCGTTTTGAATCATTAAAAAAAACTCATGTTTTGTTAATTGGTGATTAATTTTTTGAATTTGAACTTTGGCATGAACAGTCATTTTTTCATTATTATTGATATTGTACACTCTTCACTTGGCAGCTTAAGTAAGCTCATTTATAAATTTTGGCCATTTAAAAGAATTTGATGGAAATCTTTTTTTTAATCAGTAGTTGATATTTTATTTATTTCATTCATTAAACAAAAATTATGTCTCTAATAATTGGAAGAAACGAACGATAAAAAAACTCCTTTTTCTCTATTTTCGGACAGCAGTGAGTAAAACTTCGTCTTACATAGATACTATTCATAGATATTATGTATGAGTGCATGCAGCACAAATTGTATGATTTCGATATTTTGCTGGTTATCTTTGCATCGACCATTTATAAAATTGTGCATGAACAATCTTTCTTCTCTTCAATTACGGCATCATATTTGGCTTTTTTACTACGGCACGTACAGCTTCTAGGAATACAGCATCAATGTTTTTCTTCTCTATTGCCGAACACTCGATCAGGGCCTTTGCTTTGATTTTCCGCTTCAACTCCTTTGCTTCGTTCAAAGTCACGAATTTTTCTGAGATGGGATAGCGTTTATCACTTTTTGTACCTGAAATATCAAGCATCGTGTCAATAGAGCGAATATTTTCACGAACAGTAATCACTAAACACTATCTCCCCATTATTCGGTTTTATGAACATTCAAGTTTGCTGTGAATTTAAGTTTAAACAACACTCATCTTTGAATCATAATATGAATCATACTACATGATTTTTCGTGAATCAATTGAATAGTATTCAATGAATTCTCACCAACAAGGATGATCGGAACACTCGGTGAGCACTTCTGAATTTCTGGGTACCATTTTTCGAGCACATTTTCGAAGGATGCTCGGTTGGATATCGAATAACAAATAATGAAACAATCAGTATTTGGATAGAATAGCGGTCGCAAACGATCATAGTCCTCTTGCCCTAATGATATTTTGAATAAATAAAAAGTGAGAGCATTCGTTATAAAGTGGAAGCAAACTGAAGCCGCTCTTTGAGTTATTTTTCAGGCCACTCTACCACTATTATGAAAAAATACAATTGGTGCATACCGGCTGTGACACACAATGTGAGTTCAAACTTCTTGCCATCAATGGTTTGGTCGCAGATGTAATTTTCGAAAACTGTAGGTGGTACATCGAACGTAGGAAATTTATCATCAGCATATGTGATGAGTAAACACGTTTTTCCTACCATACCATCACCGATGGTTGTGATTTTTAGCTTTGAAGCCGCCATTTATGGTCTTTTACTTTTCCGTACACAACGTGTCAAGGGAAAGTATAGGAATTGGTCCCGAAAACTTTTTTCGCAAAATTGGTTTAGATCATTATAAAAACTCATGAAACGCGTAGAAAACCACTTTTTGAGACACTTTTCCGTTCGTGTGCCGTCGTCGTTGTCGTCGTCGTAGCTGTTTGTAAACACGATAACTCAAAAAATAATTGAGATAATCAAAATCTGGAAATGCCAAAAGTTTTGTATCCAAAAAACTTAGTTTGAGTTCGAAGATGAGCCATTTTCGATTTGATCCTGAGGACTTGCCCTAAGAAAAACCTCAAAAAATTGACACTTTTGTATGGGAGGTACCCGTAAATCGACTCCGATTGGCTTCAAACTCTCTGGGATTTCATTTTTTAGAAAAAAAATAAGATTCTGAAAGTTTGAAACCAATCGGAATCGGTTTACGGGTACCTCCCATACAAATTTTTTGAAATTTCGACTAAAATTACCGATTTTTGGACAATTTTGTATGGAAGGTACCCGTTAATCGATTCTGATTGGCTTCAAACATTTTGTGGTTTCATTTTTTGGAGAAAAAATAAGATTCTTAAAGTTTCATGTTGATCGTTTGCAGAAGTTTGATTTTTTGTCCTCAATTTTTGTCGACATTTCTTTGGAAAAAAATTAAGGGCCAAAAACCAAACTTCTGCAAATGCGATCAACATGAAACTTTCAGAATCTTTTTTTTTCTCCAAAAAATGAACCCTCAGAAAGTTCAAAGCCAATAAGAATTGGTTTACGGGTACCTCTCATACAAAATTGTTGAAGTTTTAGTTAAAGTGACCGATTTTTCACTTTATTTTCATTATTATATTTTCACTGCCTTTATTTCAAGAAAATTCACAAAAAATAACCAAAAGTACCTACGGACAACGAAGGCCAACGGTACGGAAAAGTTCGGGATTACCAATGTAATTCTTTTTATTGCTTTTATATTTACTTTCGCGATTTTTGTTTTCAAATTGAGCGTTTCCTCAGATTGTCTTCTGCAATGTATGGACACGACACGTACAACTATATAAATAAACACTTGAAATGCTACACCGCTCTAGCGTTCTCGATGAACAATAATATCATGTAAATAACAAATTTATTTGCGTTAATTTATACTTTACGACCAAAAGAAATGACCGAAAAAATAATTTTATCAAAGTGAATTCTCGTGTTGAAAGCAAAAGCAAAACTGGCAAACTACTCAATTTTAGAATGATGTAAAATTTGATGATAAAAGTGTTTCTTGGAATGTATATCACCCATTTTTTGTTTCTTAGTCACGAGAGTTTATGCAATTTTTTCTTCATTACAAAAATATTAAATAAACAAATAATGAAAAAAAATGTTTTAAATGTTTTGTTTATGTTTTTTTTAATTTATGCTACTGTTTCTTCTATTTAAATTTGGTGTGAACTGTTTCTTCGTGTGTTTTGAAAGTAAGACTTGACATCATAGTATGTTGAACTCATAGATGGCATTTCAGGTGGTTTCTATTCGACACCAGTTTTAATAATAACGGTATTAATCATTTTATTGTAGGAATGTAGTACAGGTTAGAGGATTATATCCTTCCTTTAAATATGTAATATTACTGGTATTATATTAGTCTTGTTCTTCTCATTAATAAACAGTATTTACTTACTCAATTCTCCTACATTAAGAAAATTCTGCAGATTTCAGAAAAACATTAATGGATATTTTTACAGAAATGTAATTTTTTTGGACAGATATTGAATCTGTGATTGAATGAAAGGAACTGAAATGTGAATTCAACAAAATATCTCTTTTTTAATGGAAGTGTTAGAAAATCGATGAGCATCTACTATAATGTAATTAGTTTTCTTTGATATCAAATTGAAATGACGTTGAACATGTCAAAGTTTAAAACGATTGAAAGTTGTAATTTTGAAGGGAACATGTCAGGTATTGCGACATTAAAATATGGTCATTTAATGTAGGAGAAGTGTTTAAAGATAAGTGAAACGATTTTTTTAAATGAATTTGAGAAAATTGAATCAATAACACCGCATAAGTTATATCATCCTCAAAAGCTAAAAGAAAATGAGTGCGATTAAAAGACTTAATGAAATTATTGGTTGAAATCATACATTCAATGAGGTTTTAATGTTTATAATAAAAATTCCTTTTGTATGAAAGAGAATCGGACAAAAGTCCATTTGGTATACTGTGGCATGGGACAGGAATGGAATGATAGGATACATTCCAAGCAAAAACTTCATAAAGAAATTTTTTATAAATAAATATTCCAAGAGATATATTTTTTCAGCTAAATGATTATCAAAATGGTCTGCGAACATATTAAATAGTTGAAGTCGAACCGTTTTGACCTTTAACGAAAGCGATAGCCATTAATTTGGATTGCATATGTTCATTCTAATTTAAACTCCAAACTTACGGCGTTGTAACAATCATTTGCACTTCTGATCAAATAGACCAAATCAACAATCAAACGATCAATCGTGCAGAAGATCATCATGGTTATTAGATCTAAAAAGATTGTGTTGTAGAAGATTAGAAATTTGATAGTCCTTAAAAATGTTAAATTTACCGTAATTAAGTTCCATGTATTTTCTTCTGAGCTATTGCTAACCGATATACAGAATAAACATAGAATATTGAAAACAAATTATGAATACAATCAAATTCGAATATAATGTTCACACGTCAAGAAAATTCATGGATCGATTCGTAGTAGTTGCGAATTCTTCTGCAACGATTGAGTTCAATGTTCCGCTTGTTTTGTGGCCGTTTTCTCTTAAACCGATTTGATTTCCCCATTTGCAGCAATTTTGTATTCAATTTTTGCAATTCGAATGCTATCACTTTCAAATGCAGGACATAGAAGAAAACATGTTGATCAAATGTATTTCGATTGATGAACATCATGAATAAACTAGAAAAACCGAAAAGCTTGGATGTTTTAACGCATACTACATGGGCTGAAAAGTCTTCGGCCTGACCTAGATGCGGCACCACAAACAAAAAATCCCAGGGTCTACCAAATAGTACCAACCTTAACTCGATTTCTGTTAAAATTTCATGACATTTTACCAATGCGTTCTCAAGTTATTGCCCTCGAAGTGACGCTACCTCTGTGTTTTTGTTTTAATACCATGGAAAAAAGTAAATATCGTGTTTTGATAAAACATTGCTTCCTGATGGGAAAAAATAGTATAATAAAATATATCACATTTCCAAAAAATAATAGAAACGATGTGGTAAAATAGTTCCATTGGATTGAACCGATTTGCGATGAGAATTCGTCATCGATTCGAGTGAAAATCTCCCAGAAAATGTTCAAATGTTTTCGATTGGAATATGCTTCGAAAAGTAAAATCCATTACAAAATGACGGAAACAAAATAATACGCGATGGAATTGAACGTATCGATAACATCCATACGAGATTGTATTTTAATAACAGTTGTATAGGAAACGATCGAGCACCACACGCATAAAGAGGCATGTCCAACGAAAATCAACGCATTCCATATTCTTCCACCGAATCTGGCCGAGGGTATGGAATGAAAACCACTCAGATAGAAAAAGATCAGAATATGTTTGATTCTTTTTGACAACATTTTCACGCTTTTTTCCACAATTTATTTTATGCCTTTGGCAGAAGGGAAGAAACTGAAATATTTTCAGTGAAACGTTCTGCTATAAACATCATTTTCGTTTTTATTGAAAAATTAATGCAATGTCATTTTATATTTCATATAAGGTTGAATTATAGTGTCATATGATGATTGAAAACACGAAAAAATTATATCATCGTGATACAAATGGGCATTTATCGCAAATTTAAATTTAGGTGTGAACAAATTAACTTTTATCTAGTACCTGAATTATAACAAAAAGTTTACACGGAGTTTGAAATACAATCTGAATGAATGTAGTAATGTATGAGTAATGTTTTTTTTAAATAAATCAATCTGCACTCATATGTCCTTATAAACCAACTGGTTTGACCTTTAAAATGCATTTGAAACACATGAAGGTTATTTTTCAAACAATTTCATCGAGTTAACATTACATAGAAGTTAAGTAGGTACAATTCAAAACATGAAAAGTGTCAATAAGCAGGATTTTCTAAGGCAACCACTACATACAAACGAACTAAAATACTTTAATAAAACACCGAATGATAACAATCAATTTAAGGTAAATAAAAAGTTTTTCTTTCATGCTATTTATCTGAATTTGGCGCTGTATTTCATATGAACGTTTCACGATAATCACTTTCCAGCATTCGAAATACGTAAAAATATCGGAAGCCATCTAGTGAAATGATACGAAAGCAAAAGACGAAATTTCTCAAAGTTCCAAAGCTTGACTTCCCGTTTTAGACATTTGACAATTTCTAATTCAAACTATCGTAATGAACGTATTTAAGATAAAACAGCTGTGTTTGATATGATTCCCAGCATGTTTTCTTCTTTGGCAAAAGTAACGAATGATTGTTTGTATACATGTAAAATAAAGTGATGGAATGCCAAACAATTGAATCGTCGAACAGAATATTTGATCAACAAATAGGAAATAATGTAGTCAGTATAAGGTGTCTGCCAGTTTTGAGTTCCATTTCAAATAACTGATTCGACAATAGTCGTTTTCGTTGAATTTCAACTGCAACAAAACCGGTGTTTTCATTTCAATCGTGTGAATACGTGCATCTGACGAAAGTTTTATTTTTAGAATTTACATAAATGCGAATAGTTTAAAATTGGCCATTCCAGTTGCGCACAACACGAAAAATAAAGCATACATAGAAAGAAGATGGGTACTTCTTGCACCTGTTCAGCATCACAATACAATGAAGTGACAAAAACGAACTGCTAATGGTCGGAAATAGCAATAACAAAGTTGTTATTGTCGTACGTATGTAAAATGGTGTGAAATCCGGTGTGGATATTTGTGAATCGTACGCGAGGAACCCAGTATCCAGTTGCTTAAGGTGAGCAATAAAATGTGAATAAATAAAATTGGATTCTGCATTTGGTTAGCCAAAAAAAATGTAGCCGGAAAAACCAGAAATAGTCAATGGCCGAACGGTTTCGCTTGATTGGATCTAACTACAAGTTGTGATTGTCGTGTGTATTTCGGCTGCAGACGCGATAATCTTCATTGATATACAACAATTAGTCGTCTAATGTGATTTTGTGCAAACAACAAAACGTCAACTAATCCATGCAACGCACGAAAAACCATCGCAAATAGACTCATGCATGCATATCACAGCGAAATGCAAATGTTGTCTCTGCAGGATGCGTCTGTGACGGCAGTGCAGCAGTGAGAGCTAGAAAAAAAATGGTGAAAAAAGTGGTCATTCAACGAGCAATGGTGGAAGATTAGTGTAGGCTGCGTTCAGCAGTGGGCAAAATGATGATTGTGCATTTGAAGGTTGAGTATTCGTTTTCCACTTGAATTTCCCTGGATTCGTATGGGCTGGATATTTTTTTTCTGCCACTGTGTTTTCATTGTTTTAAAACCAACGCATAAACATTCGATGAGCTTTATGCTAAACAGTTCATGCAACTGGGCTGGAAAATGGAGAACGACTGAAGCGTAGACGAAAAATGATTTTTTTTTCTTCATAAAACGGCATTTTGAACGTGGTTCGCATGCACGTTTTCCCAACGAGTTGAGAAACTGCAGTGCTATGAATCAAGCCCACTCCAGACACCTGAAATGAAGAACATTTATTTAAATTTCGGTTTGTTGTGTATTCGTTAGCTTGGTGCGGCACCGTATGTGTGTGTGTGTGTGTGTGTGTGAGCAGAAAAACACTTGTGCACTTTCCAAGGAAGCACACGAATCTGGTTGCCATAAAACGAAGACATCATGCTGATGAAGTGTGTATTCCTTCTATTTCATGCATATACTCAGTTTGGTGGTAGCACAACGCCGTTAAAATTCAATGGCTCGTACACATTATATCCCTTTAGAACCTAATAGAAGGTTTGCATGGCTCTGAACCGTGAACATGCCATCGTTGCGAAAATAAAGTGGCATACAAAGAAAAACACTTGCAAGTTGAAGTCAAGTTATTAAATGAGTAGTGGTGTTGGCGAGGAGTTTTGTTTTTTGTGTAGTTTTTGCATATTTTATTTTCACATCGGAATTTAGTTTTTCTTTCGTCAGCCCGCAATAAAAGTAGGCTAATGTACGAGGAAAACTGTCTTCTGCGTCGACAGAGCATATGTAAAACAACTGGTGAGACAAGCAATTCCATTGCCATTTCCACTTGCAACGCCAGTGTTATTGCTGCTTTGGTTCAAGAGTTACAGCGGTTCAAGCGGAAAATTTTAGCATTTCTACATTTGGCCTGCCGCAACGCAAAACCAAATGGAAACAAAATTCACGAAACCAGACTGTGTACCAAATAGTTTCTTATTTCGGTTGCCAGCCAACCGGAAATGCATTGAATCCAAAATAAATATAATTCGGTTTGCGTGTATGTTTGTGTGTATCCTTCATGCCGATCGAAAAATCAAAAATGTTAAAATGCACTAAACAAATTCCATTCCTAAATAAATGCATAAGACGCCGTAAATACCAAATTGAATTTTATGAAAACAAATACCCGACCAATTGTCGACTATTCTCCACGGTTCGCTTAGGAATTACAATCAGCAACTCTTTCAATGCGGTTTTTTTTCCTCGCTTGTCCTTTTTGGATTTCATTCGATAAACACGACTCGGTATCAGCCAAGACGTATTGTTTACATTTCAGTCTCCCACATTTTGCTTCGTTCTTTTTGTTGTTCAATGAGAAATGAGTGCGCTCGTGCGGGCGATAAAGAGCAAACAATTGTTCAGGAAACGAAAAATGGACGACGACGACGACAACGAATCAAGAATAAGACAAGTAGTTGTATTGAATCTTTTATGCGCTTTAACGTATACAAATGCATCGTATAAATCGAATTTTATTCTATCTGCTAAGATATGCTCGGAATTGTTCCAACATTTTTATTATTATTTATCTTTAGATTCCTACGTTCTGGTCATTTTTTTCTCGCAAAGAATAAGCATAATTGGATTGTTTACATTGAATGAAACAAAAGCAACAGCAACAAGAAGAAAAAAAATGAGCATAAACCTTGCTCATAGATCGTCTGGCTACTAGTGTGCATCTGTGAACTGTAAATATTTTTGTGCCATGGAAATGGGTGATAACAAAAGATAAATACAATTTTTTTTTGTTCCCAAACTCTGATCCCAAAGAAAACAGATTACGAAAGAATCAAATGTTCGGATACTTGGAAGACGAAATTTCATTTTTATGCTTAGTAAATGAGGTTTATTTTAGCGAGATTGTCAAAGTTGGATTTCAATCAAGTCATGCAAAGAAAAAATAAAAACTTGTTCTCGTTCATATAAATAAGTTTATCGCTTCCATTCTTATCGCTCACAGTACAAAGGAAACATGAAGATATTAGAATACAATTAAATGTGAATGAACAAATGTGTTCACTTGTAAATTATGGCCTCAGTAGAACATAATGTCAAATGTCCAGGGAATTTATTGAAATACTTCGAAGTTTCTAGCGTCAAGCAGCTAAATTCAGACAGATCTCGTTTCCGAGAAATAATTTAAATGAAACATTAGTTATTCCACATGATTTATGTCTTTTGTGCGGCAAACAATTGAAAATTGGTGAGCAATAGAAAATGAGGTGTATTTTTTCGACCTCAACAAAAGAGTGAACAGCAGCAGTATCAGCATCACGACAAGCAGCCGAACAGAATGCATTGCAATGCGGAGTACCATCGGTGACGTAATCATTTGTTGAACGAACGTAGAGGGAAAAAAAAACAACGGAATTCCAAACAAATACAACGAGATTCACCTCGAGCGACAACAACACATGAAAACTTCTCCACTTGGATGCAGCAGCAGCATACCTGTTTTCAAACACATCGGCACGGATGCAGCAATACGGAGGAGTTAAATCAATTGCCATTGTTGGCGTGTGTGAGATGCAATACAAAAACAAACCTAATAAGAAATGAAAAAAAAATTCTCTCTAGGCTTTCTGCAAGCGAGCATAGCAGCAGCACGTCGAGATTCAATTGCGTACGACACGAACACACAAGTTGTTTGACACTGATATATGATATATTGGCATTTTTGTCTATTTATTTGTTGGTTGTTATTTGTGAAATAACACCTTTTTTATTTACTATTCGGTATTTGCGTATGTGTGTGTGTGTGTTGGAGCAAGAGTTGGCCGAACGGCTGCTCCCACATAACAATGGTCATCGCTATTGCCAAAACAACCATCCGTGTTTTGTATACTTGACACTGACGCACGGCACAAAACAAAAGAGCGAAACACATTAAAAAAATGGCATGAACATCGGTTTTTGTTTGCCAATGGATTTCGAAGTGTGTACTGTGTGCTCATAAAATAGGTATGAGCGAGCGCGCGCGCGGCATCCAAAAAGAAGAGAAAATTAAATAACGAACCCAAAAAATATGCCCAACGTGATTAAATACATCAGAGTTGGAGTGGCTGCACGGTGTGTATGTGTTCATATGGATAGCCATACACACGAAACACCGTAACGAATTAAGACAGACAAAACTATGAGCCGCACACAAATACAAACATTAAAATATCCACCAACACAGTCAGAGCGCCGAACGAGCAGCAACGAAACACATACACACAGAGACAGAAAGCGAATTAAGTAGCGAGGTTGAGAATAACAATGCTCGATTATTAGTACTTAGTTAAGTTTGCGGTGTTTCCATGTGAGGTTCGGTCTCTCGCGCGCACGATACAACAGACAAAAAAATTCCGTCGTACAATTCGAGCCGTAGCATTAATTGTATTTCTCTCACTGACCAGTGGAATTCGCTATGAATTATTTTGCCTGTTCTATTTGACTACTTAATTTCAATTGATTCTAATGTGTGTACGTTGCTTTGTGTATGTTCTCTAACGTCAATGATTTTTTTCTTCACACTCAATTTTGTGAGTGTGTATTTTTTTTTTATTGTTCTAATACCGTGTTGTGTGTGACTGAATAAAACCACTGGAATTTTCAAATACAACTGAAAACGAAATAAAATTATTGAGAAAAAAAGCGAATTTTGCTAGTGTGTTGAATAGCAATTGTTTGGAGACGAAATCACGTGAAGTTGTGTATGCATTTGCATTGAAATTTGTGTATGTTTGAAAGCGTATAAAAAAGTGAGTTTCGATGGTAATTAAAAAATTTACGACTTAGGAATATGCATCGCCAGCTGAAATCTTCCTGGAGAACAATATATAGAAAGAAAAAAAAAACATGCGCAAGCAATAAGTGCTCATTTTTACGACTGTTTAAGAATACAACTGCAAATGGAAAAATTCTCGTCCAAACAAAAAAAAAGCATCCAAATACGATTGTGATGATGTGTTGTAATTTGTTTATACTTTCCATCTTCGTCGGTTATTTACGTAAAATACGGTCAAAGCAATGGTATTTTATGAATGATGAACGCACTAAAACAGCGGCACCTTGACGATGGATGAGTCATAGTATAAAAACGATTCAACGATCGAACATTTATTGCGTTATATCGCTGATCGTTCCGTCAATTTCAAGCAATATCGTCGACGTTGGACAGCGCCGGTGCTACGCGCACACGAAAGAGATTGTGTTTGTGTCAATGGCAAAAGAAACAAGCGAACAACGTAATCTCATTCAGCGGTATGATAGATGTGAGCGAACGTAGTCCGATGTTAACGTGTGTATATATATCTATTTCTTGGAACCACCACACACTCTTACCTGTTTCAATATAAATATTTTCGTTACCGGTTTGGGTTTCTCCAACATATTCTGCTTTTATTTCGACTCAAAATGAAAAAGAGTTTCAAATGCATTCGAAAAGCACGAGTCATTTCAAGTTTTTTTTTTCGGAACAGAAGAGAAAACGAAATAATAATAATGATTCGATAGTTGTTGAATTGTTGATGTTCAACCATCGCAACGAACTTTGTCGTACGATCAAGAAATTGAATGAAATATTCGGAAGATAACCACCTTCTTCAACATTTTCGACAATTTTTTTTTTTTGGTTCTTCGTGCAAAATTCTCTCGATAGCGATAACGAGATAGCAATTGAATTGAAAATGATAGCGATTCGTGTAGAGTTTTTGTTCTGAATACATCGTCACTGAAGCAGAAAAAAATCGACGCAAAGTGGCACACAAAGATAACAAAGTTCTTATGAAATTTCAATCAAATCGTCGACTTGATAAGATTCCGTGTATTTACACTAATTTCCTCGTATTTCTATAGAAATTTACCACAACACTCAGGCAGTTTTCCCGTGTTATCGCAGGCGATTTTTTTTATTCATACAATGCAAATATTTTATCATATGCCACAATTACACTGTTGACAAATACCTCCATTGTGACATATAATTGTTATAAAATACTGAGAATATGACGATAAATTTGTGTGAAATTGAATGATGAACAAAAAGCTATTGAGATCGAAAAAGATTCCGTTTTCTCCCAAACAAAACGGTTGCCGTGTTTGTAATACAAACGTTGTAATAAAAAAGCCAATTTACACCGTCAAACTGAGTAGTAACACTGAAAATGCAAATACAATGTTTTAAATGCAGACGTCAAAAATTTTCGTTGGGCAAAAAAACCGTATTTACGAAAACCATTTTGCATACTAATTGCTTATTAATTGGCTTGACAATTGGTTACACTTCATACTATACCGAATGAGTTCGGTCCGACTCTTGATATCATACGAAATTCTTCGGTATGTGAATCATACATGCTCATCGTGTCAATGAATCAAACAAACTTCAACTAATAAATAGCCCGTTTGTCAATACGCAATCACACATATCATATTCGTGTGTATGTTAAAATGTCGCCGAAATGTGTTCCATATTTAATGGTGCGTTTCAAACCGTCGTAAAACGTTCGAATCGAATAAAAATTACTATGTATGACATTTCAATCCTATACACTCTGACAATAAAGAATAATTGAATAATGTGTATGCAGTCGTAATGTTGGCGTTTCGATAGCTGCTCTTGTTCTCGTTTGAAAAGAGAGAGAAAAACAGTCTAATTGAATTTCTTCACTCGAATGAAAAAGGTCCATTTGGGATCAAGTAGTCGATGACAAAAAAAAATTAACGAGCCCAAGGTTCGTGCTCATGCTTAACGTCTGCATTTCGGTGGCGCAACGAATTTCGTGAAATGAACGAGACATGCATTTTAAATTGCGATTGAACTGAACGTTCACAAATACAACAACGACATGCACTAAACTCACAGTTATTTGTTTGTTTTTGCATTCGATTCCGAGAAAGTTTTCAACAAATCCCATTTAGAATTCGATTAGACTCGTACAAGATTTATTTACTTTTTTTACCGCAGCTACTGTTATTGCACTTGGGAAGACGAACCATACTTCCCATTTTGTTTGCTGTTTTCTCAAAATTGAGGAAAAAGACAGACATACTTGTAACGAGGGAAAAGCGAAAAAACGAAAAAAAATTCGAGCAGTTATTGAAAAGAGATAAACAACGCAGTGAAGGAAAAATGGGAATGGGAATTGAAACCTGAAATGTTCGATAAAATCAAATACATACAATGAAATATTTAATTGATTTGCCAATCGCGAGTGTGCGATATATCGCATAATATATTGATGATTTATTTATATCATGGCGTCACAAATGTGCGTGATATACTCCAGAGACACGAGAGTGAAGGCGGCGCGGGCAAAATGAGGCTACTGTGGAATAAAATAAGCGATTAATTTTCGTACATATAAAATTGATGTTATGAAATTGCCATTGTGAATGACGTCCAAGTGACCATTCCCATTGCCACGAAATGCAATCGATAAAACTTGGGAAAATTCATTTTGATTCGAATGAAAAATTTAGAGAGAGAGAAAAAAAAATCAGCTGAATTCTACGAAAGCCAACAATTTGTGCTAGCGCTGAAAAAGATCACGTACAATTTCTGCGAACTCATTTGGGTTTGGTTGCAATTTTGCAACGACGATAGTGTGAGACAATGCTTAATCATAATTAAAAAAATGTGAAATGACAAAATAAAATGCGGTTTTAGGAGTGGATGACAATAAATCTCCGATTTCATTATAGTGAGTGCAACGGGAGTGAATCACTCGCCGGGGCCAGAAGCCAAAGTAAACACAAAACATGGTGAAGAATGCTTGGTCGGCGATTATTAAATGAAATGACAAAGTTCAATATAAAACGGTGTGTGCGTGTGTTAATTGTAGAAGCATGAAGCACCGACAGAGAGAGAGAGAGAGATATTTAACGGCTTGTTGGAATCCCCCGGCTAGCACGGCCCAATCGATCCGGCTGTTTATGAGCTGCATTAAATGAATGTTATGCAAAAATGGCTCAAATAAAATATGAAACCGAATGCGTGCATTTGGCGTGAAGCACGTTTTTAATTGCATCATTTCGCTGCATGCGAACACACACCAGAATCGTTAAAAAGATCCTGTTTATTTTATAGAGTGCTCGAGCAGTGCACATAAATATATTTTAATATTAACCATACGGCTCTTGTGGCGGTGGCCATACATGAACCACGTCTAGGCAATATCAAATGTAGACATCTAAGCGGCCGAACTGAACCATTAACCAAACTGAAAACGTCACGCCATCCGCTTTTATTATAATATAAATTTTCTTTTCAATTTTATAAGTTTCCATAATATGTGGCCGATCTCTGGATTCGGCCCGACACCATAATCATTTATGAATGGGAAATATTTCGTGTTTTGTTCTGCAAAACTTTTAATTTGTTCCACCGACAATCACAGCCCACTCGAATTTCTGAAGCACACCAACCGAATCGATTGTGCGTATATGCAAATGAAAAGCACGCAATTTCTAACTTTGACGTAGTTCGTGTCGATGTTGAATCACAGTCATGCTATGCACGCTTGTCAAAGTTTCCCATTTCCACACCGTGTTTTTTTCTATGTTGCGCTTTGATTTCCAATTCTCATTTGTTTCACGTCAACTCAGAGAGTCAATCAAAGTCTTGGTTGGATTGTAAATAAAAAGCAACCATTTTTTACAGTAAAAAAATGGTTTCACTCCAGAGAACAACAGTAACCCGAACTCCGTTTTCTTTGACGAAAGCCATTTATCTTCCGTAAATAGAGCAAGAGTTGTAGACAACACACAGAAAAAAAACGGTCAAATCGACCTTGAAATTTTGCCGAGTGAGTCGCATTGCAGCAAAGATCTGTGCTAATTGGATTCAACGAAAAATTAGATGAAATCGTCTCGAGGCGACTCTGCTGCATGAGTTCAACTACTCACACGAAAAGAAAATAAAATATTATAATAACCAGTTTTATAGTAGCAAAAAAAGTGAGCTCATTCTGTTTCTACGCTACTGTCGCATACTCATACCTGGTGAAGGCATATCGCGTCATTATCTAGCCTAACAATGAAATTGCGTTGCGCGCAAACAGCAAACATGTCTCAAGTGATGAATATTCGATATCGATTTCGTTTTTTTTTCTTCTACGAACATCCACTTGCAATTAATCAAATGCGCGTTGTTTCAGACTGAATGGCAGACTATCGAACTGAAAATAGAAAATTTAATAAACGAAATGCTTAGCTGACTAAGCAGCTAATTTTCGATTCTGCCTAGAAACAGTCGTTTTTTTTCTACTTCCAGTTTCGAATGTTCCAAACCAAGCCAATGTACGACGAAATTACTATTTTCACAGTAATGGATATTTATAGTAACTAAAGATTAATCGACTGGAATCAATAACAATTTAAATGTAATTGAACACAATGTTTGAAAATTACTCTCCGTTGCTGTTGTGTGCTGTTTCTAAATTCTCAAATGCGGTTCTCGAATCGCCTTGAATTTGCAGTTTGAATAAACAAATAAAGTTTGTTGATTAGGAATCGTTCGTTTGTTCGTGCGTTTGTTTCCGTTGGGTTTCTGTTTATCATCAATATTTCAGGCGAAGTGTTGAAAATTTGTCTGAATCATACGAAAAACAACAACATTTCATTGCTTGTTCCAATATATACCATTCCCAATGGGGAATGTCAATCGAATGAGAATTTTACAACGATGTTCATTCGTTTGCATTCTCGCCGTATATTTTTATTAGGCTAATGGTGTCTGTCGACATAAATTCGGAGAAACCATTTATGAATCTCTGTTCTTGATTACCAATTTGCCATTATCAATTGGAACTCATTCGTTGTGAAATTCGGCACTGGTTTGGCATAGAGCGTAATTACTTTTCTGGGAAACAATTAGTTCTATTTGGAAATGTCTTAGGTGATTTTATTAAGAACTAAGTAAATATATATATGAACTGTAATAAAAAACTAAATGATGGTCAATGCTTAACCCCCAAAAAGAGCGCTAACATTGATCAAACGAAGTGGCACTCAATGGGTATCCAAAATGTGCTCTTCCAATTTGAAAAATTACATGGGAATCGGTGTGAATTTATGAGCGACCATAAATTGTTTACAGTCTAATGAGGATGGCATCACCTGTGGTTGACACTTCATGTGAACTACTCCATCAAAACCTCCACATTCATTGGGAAATATATCACCACCTTTTCACATCGTGTCGACCAATTTTTTTTTGTTCGCATTCAAATGCATAGGCGAAAATGGATGGCTAAAGCACACACACACACACCATTTATTCCCTTTGCTAATAGTTTTTCAGGTGAAATTCGCTCATTACGTCTAAGTGCGCGTTCATGCTATCAGTTCTCCCATCCTACCACCTACGCTGCTTCGTGCATCACCGTCATTACATCCATTCCATAATTATTTATTATTGGAAAATAAATGTGACCGTGAACCATTTGACCATTGTCAACATTTGCAGAAATAAAACAGCATGTTTCCGGCTCATTTGCCGCCACACCTTTCTTTGGCTCACTTCAAAGCAGTAATTAAATTTACACGTTTAAAAAAAAAACACATTCGAACGAACTGTGTATCTGATATTTTTTTATTTGACGAGAGCAAATATTATCATCCTCACTGATGTGGCAGCGGCGTATTGTCGTTTATTTCATGAATCTCTTTCAGAAAAAATAAATAATCACCGCGTTCTTTTCTGTGATAAACAAATTCAATATTCATATCAGTCGGTTGAACTTATAAAATTAATGAAGCGGCGAATGAACTGCTCCACACAGTGTTTTATCATACATGTGATATGATAATGCGTGGGCTCAAAATCCATTATGTTATGCTCCTGTTTTGCAATGACTGAAATGAATTTTTCTAGTTATGCTCTATCGCTATCAACACAGGACATGCGTATGAAATTTTGCAGTTTTTTTCTTAATTCTTGGAACTGAATAAATACGACGCTTCTAGCTCGGAAGTTGAAGAGAAATCAACGGAAACTTTTCGACGTTACTTCGATTGAGGCAGGAAAGGAGTGCAAGTGTAATCGTTCATCATTTGAATTAAAAAATAAAACATCCAAATAAAAGTCAACATATTTTGTGGTACATGACATATGAAATGATAACGAGTCCCATGTAATGGAATGCTTGAAACATGATCATAAAACATACGAAAAGAAAGTACAACCGAACTATCCATGTATCATACTTGAACATTGCTGTTAACCCGGAACAAAAGGCAAGCATTCAGTGCCGCACACATAGCGGAAATGTCAAAAGACATAAATTAAGCCACTTGCATTGGAACCAGACCACAGAAGAAAATGCGATAGTCGTCGACGAATGGAAAAGGAAATTGGTGGAAGAATGTTGAATCACACTGAGAATGATTCGATTTAATGTTTCGAGTTTGGAATACAGAACTCGGCACTAAATCAAAAGGCATTCCACTCATCAAAAATGGTTTCAAAATGAAGTGATTTGTTTCTCTGGTAACATTTAACGGAGTTCAATTTTGAACGAAAAACAACCTCATTCATTAACCATATGTACATTTTGGTGTAAACCAAAGGCGATTACAATCTCTTCAATTAAATACACTTTAAAGAGGGCAATTAAGACCAGACGAAACGACGGCTCAAGCGTAATCACTTTTCCTCACACGCCCTCAAATGCACCAGTGCCGCTCATCGCCGACGAATTGCTGAAACTAAAACAATAAATGCCATTTTTTTTTGCTGGGTTACTGCAACGTATCGAAGAGAAATATTCTTCAATGAATTTCATTTGCACATTTCTCTCGTTCTCCGAGTGAAGTTGAACATTTGCGGCAAAAATCATATTTCATTCATGAATCGGATTGTAGAATGGTTTTAGCTCCAACTTACTCATTTTATGTAGTAAATGAACGCTCACAATTGGGCTAACAAAAGGCGATAACAGCCCAAAATGCTACAACGAAGAACACCAACGAAATAGACTCACCTATCACGCATTATGCAATCGAGCGGTTTTTCTTACGAAAAAGGAATTCTGGAGCGCGCATGTGTTGCGTCCCTCCATTCAGACAAGTACCATATCAGCCGACGATGCTTCAGCCGTTTTTAACTACACTTTAGTTCACACATTTCCTGAAACCATTCCTTGAATTATAAATGCCGCTACAATCGACATGTATGCACTTTACCGAACCTCAGAAGTGTTGTAAGCAACAGAAAAACAAACATCGATAATATGCATTCGGTGTATTGTTAACACGCTTCGACAATGGAATTCTAAATGCTCGCTCACTGAATAAAATCGCGTGGTAGTTTATATTCATTTAAACCACTTTCACATCGATAGAGCGCCGATTCGCAGAAGAGCTTTTCGTCGAAAATCAATGAATGAGCGCTTGACAAAAACAAACAACGAAAATACCGCTATTTTTAGCCAACTCAACACGTTTTATCCACTTATTTTTACCACAGTGGACAAAAATAATAATCAACGAATTTAAAATGGCGTCATTATCGCATATTCATTGAGGATTTTTCGCTTATCCATTGAATTTAATCGCGTTTAAACAATTCAATTGCTTGAAAAATTCGTTTTTTACGCCAATTCAATAAGATAAATAATAATTTAAAAGGAAGACGTATCATTTATCGTGCATTTACATATAGATTCAACAATCAACTAAATGCTTAAATGTTTTAAAAATAGCGCCATCCATTGATTAATTATCAAATTTCCGAAAATTATGTCGGAATTTAAGGAACCGAAATCATCAAGAAGTGATTTCAACCGAATCGAGTGTTTTCTCGCAGAGATCGAGATATTATTGTATCAAAGATTTCGGTCAATGCATGCACCCACCAATAAAAGAACAAAAATTAAAAATAAACACAAATCGGGCGCATATCACAGCTATTTTCATGCTCATACAAATCACGACCGCTAAAATTAAACAAACAGTGTTCGAAAGAAAAAAAAGAAGTGGAGAAAAAACGTTGGTTTCTGGTAAAAGTGTGTAATTTTGTTGTTGTTTATATCACACACAAAAATGCTCTATATCCAACGTTTGGCCTATGCAAAGCGGCCGACAAAGTGATTTTAACATGAAGCTGATATTTTTGTTGGAGTCAAGCGTCGCTGTTGAGCCGCATGTTTAGTTTATCGGTTCAAGAGTGAACGCACGAATGAAACAAAAACTATAAACATTACCATGTAACACATGTACACCGGCACTACTATTGCTCTATCTCTCTCCTTCTCGCCTTCTCTTTTTTCTTGCTGTTTCATCGAAATCCATTTGTACGGATGAATGAGGCACAAACAATAGAATCGTTTCTTTTTGTTCGGTTTGCGATGTGTTCGCCACACTCATAAAACGCTGTTGTTAAAACAGCAAGTAAAATACAAATTAGAATTTTATGCACAGCCTGTGCAGCACAGGCATAAGCGATAAGCAACCAAATGTTGTTGTTTTTGTTATTATTATTTTTATATGTGTATGTTTTTTTTCTCTCTACTTTCATTATAGCTCTAGCAGTGAGTGGCTCCAGAAACACCAACCACAAACGTTGGACGGCAGTCGAAAAAGAAGTATCAATTTGTGACGTTGGAACTGCTGCCGTCGCCGCTGCCGCATTGATGTCGCAGTTTAATTAAGAAATTGTGCACAAATTCAGTTTATTCTCATCCATTGCTTCTGTTCGTCAATTCAATTAAGTGGCCCGAGTGGCGAGTGAAAGACAAAAAAAAAACAAATATGACAAACCAGTGTGAAATGACAATTATGTGATTGGTGACAAATTATTATGATGCACTGAGCATGAACAACACAATTTTATTGAATTATTATTCACATCGACAAACAAACAGACTACACACAACAAAGAAAGCATCAGCGATGGGGAGAATACGGACTTGTTGCTACAGTAAACTAAGCTGCACATCAATTTTTTACATCACATTGGTTTTATTAATTGATTCCATCCAATGCATTACGGGTAAGTGCAGTTTGACTCCTTTCCAAAATAAGATGAATTCACTTTTGTTTTTCGCGATGTTGTAAACGACCATATTTCGCAACAAAATCGCACTTTTACATTCGCTATTTCGAAAGAAATGCCAACACTCACGCCCAAGTGGTATACCGGTTTTTTACGTCACACATTTATCGGTATCAATGCGAATCAATAATCGAAACGTTGAACGGAGCGACTGATAAATGGTTTTCCCCCTTGAATTCAATCGAAATTTCGTAAACAATGTCATTTTGGGATTTTACAGACGACATTTGGAACATTTCACGATTCTTTTCTTCCATCGTTTTTTTCATAAATCCGACAACAAAATCAATACAAATCGAATATGATTGCGAAAACAAATTCACAGTGTTGGCAAAGTGTGGAAAAACCATCCATTGCATCTCGACCACAGTCCGTGCGTAACATATGCTATAAACAATTTATAGCAATAAATCGTGTAATTTTCAAAATAAAAATGCCCAAGTTTCCACGACATTTACAGCAAAAGTGGATGTTCGTGTTCGGGGATTCTATTTGGATTTGAGTGAATGCGCGAGCGCATGTATGTGTGTGAGTTACAGGCTGACATTGTTTAATGAAATTTTACGCCAACATGCAACAATAATTTACCATATGTATTTCGCACGTACGTTTAATTATAAAATATTATACGGTTTATAACGTGTTGACTTCAAACAACGGGGAGAACAGTAAAAAATAGGAGAAATCCGTTCATTTTATGAGTTTGTGCTGAAAACTTCGGCCAATGAATATATTTTCAGTGTGCGGATTTCCGTTGAATAAACTTTTGGAAATGTTCAGTTTACCCAAACAAAGGATTTTCAGCACGTTTTTTTTCTGTTCGAATCGATTTTCAAACAATATTTTATCAAATTTGAAATTCATTTGGGAGTTTGTTTTTTTTTTCAAACTAAATTTTGACCAAATTCAATAATATTTGTTTTTCTATTGTTCTACAGACGGAGTTGCACCAGTGATTACACCACCAGAACCAGATATTACCGTGTTACCCAGTGAAAAAGTCAAATTCACTTGCCAGTCCACCGAACCGATTCATTGGCAATTTCATGTAATTTAAATCAATTTCAGTTCGATTCAATTCGTAAAAATCAACTTGAAATTCATCTCAAAATTCATTTTGCATTCAATTTTCACATTCAAAAAGGAAATTAACTAGTTTGTTTTACCATTTTTATTTCAGGAGGAATATCATCTAAATGGAAACCAGCACAACATACACGAATCATACAATCATGGCAGTCAGTATCCATATGAAAGTACACTCGAGATAGATCAAGTGGATTACACTTACGTTGGATATTATCATTGTGTGAAGAATCTAACAGAAGCAGAAATCAACGAAGGCTTAGACACATTGGTCGAATTAGGATTGGCGTCGAGAATTTACTTATTTGTTGAGGGTAGAAAAAAATTAATTTCTTTCATGATTCTTGATATTTTCAATCTTTTTTACGCAATGAAGATGCTTTCAATCAGATGATTTCAACTTTAAATTCCATTTCAATGCATCACAAAAATTATGATTGATATCACTGAATTTTCTCTTTGTCTCTTTCATCCAATTAATATCAGATCCACAACATCCGCTTGCTCCAGTGACGATTCCGGTTCTACAAGGAAATCAGCACCAAGATATTGTGATACCGTGCAAGCCGACAGCCAGAAATTATGATGTTAAACTGATCAAAGAGAGTGATGAGGTAAATTTCTATCGAAGATTCATGTTTTCGGAGAGTTTTTCTTTGATCCATAAAACTAATGTGAGGAAATCAGGTGGGCGTTCAGTTGCCGCCTATAGGTCTGATAATATGTCAATATCTTTGTATCGAATAGCGTGTTTCGAATGCAAATGCAATCAAATTAATTCAAGCATTAGGCAGTGGCGCGTTTGCGTGTGATGCATTTTAATATCAATACATGTACTATACGCGATTTCATTGTTTGAAACACGGAAGGAAATTTAACCAAACAAATGGACGTTATTACGTTCGTGTAAATGTCAAGTGAGAGAAAAATTGATTAAAAAATCATTAATTTCTATACAGAATATTAAACTCAATAATCTGGGATTTGATCTGTATACTGGTTTTGAGATAAAGAATTTAACCCTTGACCATCCTGGCACCTATAAATGCAAGTCAAAACGAAGCAACGAAGATATCGAAATTACGATAAACGTGAATAGTATGTGAAATTCTTCCTTTTATTTTCCATTTCAATTCCATCGACTAAAAACATACATACACCATTCGTCCATTAAGCCATGTATATTACCGCCATTGCATGCGATCCAGAATTATTACGCATAAAATAAAGCTATAATAATAGTGTATAGTGAGTGAGAAAATAGGTAAATATGGAAATATTACGTTTGACACGAAGCCAGAATTATTATAAATGACGTCCTTTCAACTTCATCCATAGTGTAAATTTGCTCACGTCGTCTATCAGCCGACATGTATAGAAAATCATTTTGCGATTAGCCAATTTAATAATAATATGAAAATGTAATTGAGTTTTAAAATCAACATTCACAGGAAACGTGCATTTTATTGTGGATAAAATGCTTGCCCAGCCGTTCATTTTTATTTTATTTTTTTCATTATACTAGTTTAAGATTTTTGAAATTTATATTTTAAAATATAAATAGTTACCATCACGTGAACCCGTCCATTTATTATAAGCTGCATTTTTTTTTCTCTTTCCCGAAAACCATTATTTTACAGTCGCATCAATTCGAATCAACATTTAGCCCGACCGAAGGTTATCGAATCAAATTGAATGAAGTGACCGATGGTGGTAGTTACACGTGCCACTCAAAATTCGATTCAACCGGCGAATTTGATGTACATTTCAGTATCCATGTGAATTGTGAGTTGAATAAATGCCATGGCAATGCAACAATTGTGAATGATATGCCCGCTACTACCGTTGTTGCACCGATTTCTCTAAATCAAATAACAACAATAAGCACGCAACATTTAATGACAGTTACTACTACTACCACTACCGCTAGTAATCCAATGGTTAAGCAAATACGATCTGGTGTTGGTAAATCATCATTTTCAAAACGACATATTTCATCTAATTTCTCTACTGCCTCTGTATCACCTCCTACTCCTGCTACCCCAACTGTTACCTCTTCTGTTTTGCAATCTAATCAGCACATGAGTTTGTATGACGTAGAAATAACAACTGCACCAACTGATTCAATTACTACCACACGTTCCGATTTGGACGATGTGGCCATCCGACGATATAGCGCTCGTAGACAAATGCCAACGCCATCGTACATTCTGGAGAAAACAAAACGCAGGGGTTAATATTCTTTCTCGACTTTTTGAATATTTGTGTGCGTTTTGTTCTGTTCGGTTCTGTTTTGTTGTTCTCTTTTTTCTATCTTGTGTTAACTTTCTGTTTCTTTCTTTTCCTTTTAACTCGGCCACTTTTATTTGTTTCCTCTTTTTTCTTATCTATTGGTTTTTGGAATCACTTCATTTGTGATTATTTTTTTTTATTGTATGTATTTTTATTGCATGTATTTATTTTGTACTTATCATTCTATTTGTCATCACTTTTAATTTCATTTTTGCTCGCATGCTTTGTTGTTAATTTTTGTTTTTATAAAATTGATTTAATTCTTAATTTTTTTCCTTTAGTTTGTTGATTTTGGTTTAATTTTTTAATGCTGGCATTTTTTCGTTCTGGTTTTTTTTCTGTGTGTCTTTTGATGTTTTGATGAACTATTAAAATGACATATAAATATTAACTCTTCCAATCAAACAAAACTCAACTCTGCCAATCAAGTAGCTGGGCAAACTTTTGTGAACAAGCCGAACATTACATCGAAAACACAAAACTATGGAATTGAAGGCGGCAATCTTGAACTCAAATGTTCGGTTGAAGTTGGACTGGGAACACTAATATACATGTATTGGTTTCTTCCAAACAATAATATTTCATTAGAGGTTTGTATCGTTGAAGAAAAAAAAAATTTAGAACGGTTTCAGCTTGGAAATAAAATAATAATCGCAAGTATTCACATTGATTGTCAGGAGGGACGCGCAATAATTTCAGAACCAGTTCGTGAAAAACATGAAACCCATCCAGAACTGTCACATGCTGTCGGAAAGTTAATAGTCCACAATTTGGATAAAACTAAAGATGCCGGTTTTTACAAATGCATGGTCGAGGATTCTTCATTGAATCGCAATTCGGACCTTATAAATGTGATCAAAATTTTAGGTATGTGCAAATTAAGGAATATTTTTAATCTTTGGGCATAAAAGGCAAACTTTTGCGAAATATACTTCATACTTATTTCACATTTTTAACCTGTGATTGAAACAAAACATGTGATTCTCTTCTGTGTGCAACCAGTTTCAAGTTTCTGTTTCTACGCACAAGGTGTGCCTTTTGTTCTCAGGGGCTAATTTTTTTTAAGTAATCTATGAAACTCCATCCAATACTTTTCAACGTAAAAGCCTAACTTTATACTTTAAATCATCGACAGATCCCGATGAATCGTTCATCGATATTAATGAGCCAACGGGCAAATACAAGGCGGAAGTGGCGTCGACTAAAAAAGAGGTTCAATGGATTGCAAAGTACGCGGGCCATCCAATTCCGGAAATTGTTTGGCGTGACACTCGCGGGAATGAGATTCCTTGGTCGTTATCAGAAGACAAGAATCGTAAATATGAAGCGATCAAAGATGGTAAATCGACAACTTTGAAGATTCGACAGCCAAAAATTGGCGATTCGGGATTCTACATTCTACGTGGTGATAACGGTCAAAAGCAAGAGGAACGAAAGTTCCAATTGCTAGTCAAAGGTAAAGAATATAACATTTATTATGAAACACCTTTTTTCGCATATTTTTCTTCAAATATTGAATCTTTGATTTGTTTTTTCTGCAACAGAGAAACCACAGCTTAGCATGGAAGATGTATCGGCCAAGCCAGGAGAGAACGCAGTGATGAAGTGCAATATATATGGCTATCCAGCATCATCAGTGACGTGGTCGTTCATACCATGCAGCAAGCCCGAGTTTGACAGTAACTCGTGTGACGAAAGCAAAAAAATTAAATATGTAAGTGGTGATGAAATAAGCTTGGCTTTGGTTTTGGCTTCTATTGTTAAATTTGCATTTTTTTTTCTTGATTTTTACTACATCCGAAAATTGGTCTTGGAATTTTTATGTTTGGTAACATCTTTTTTTTTGCATGATTACTAACACCCTCATTTTTTGCACTAACCTAGAATCATTTTACGCACGAAAATGTAAGTTTTCTCACACGCTCTTTCAAAGCGATGTTCATTATCGCATTGGAGCCATTCGATTCATGTTTTCTTTGTATTTCTGTAGAATGAGACGATGGCGGTTCAGACACTTCAAACACATCTGTTCAATCAAACATCGACATTCACATTCATTCCGGAAAGTACGGGAATCGTTATTTGCAAGGCGAAAAATACTGAGGGCAAAACAAATGCCACCGCAAAGGTCATTATCAATGACTTGAACGAAGAGCTAAGCGTTTGGAGTCCCAACACGTTGCCCATTTCAATTGGAGACGATGTGTCTGTTGTATGCGGAGCATCGGATCACAAATATTCGCAGGAGCTAATGTGGTACAAGGATAATGTCCCCGTTGTGAATTCCGATAGTACGTACACTTTACAAATAAAATACGAAAAAAAAGGAAAATCAATGCTTATCTAATTCGAAAATGTACAAATTTGTCCAATCCTAGATGTTGAAGTGATATCAGAAGAAACGAAATTTTCGCATCGACGAGAAATTCGGTGGAAATCCATTGACGGATCAGCATCCGGCCAATATGAGTGCAGGGCAAATGTTATCGGTGGTACGGTAGAGTCAAAAATGTTCGAGTTGGATGTGGTACAACCACAGAAACCAGAAATCGATCCCAATTTTAAGAGTGGAGGAGTGTCCAAGAAACCAGTTGGAGAGCCGATTAAACTGAAATGCCAATTCAGAGGAATTCCAACTCCGCAACTGACCTGGTATAAAAATGGCAATGAAATTCGACCAGATGTCGACGATAAACACATAACATTGGACGACAATGGCACGGTACTTCATCTGCATTACACTAAAGCTGAAGATGAGGGCAAATACAAGTGTGTCGCTATAAATAGGATTGGATCGACGTCACATGAGACAACACTCAAAATGACTGGTAAATAATTGATTCAGTATTATTTCCGTATCTGTTTCATTTTCACCAGCTCAAAATACTCATTCATCGATATTGACATTTCTAATTGACTTATGCATGTTTCATTTGCATAGGTTTGCCAACGGTCAGTGTGGCGTTCATCGTCAGTGTAATTGCAGTGATTCTGGTATTGGCCATCTGTACGATTTACTTGTGCATCCGTATTCGACGTGAACGTCGATTGTTCCGTGAATTGAAAGCAGCTGGTTTGGCCAATTTCGAAGAAGGAAATCCAGAGAGCATCAATCCAGATCTCGCACTGGATGAACAAGCCGATCTGTTGCCATATGATAAAAAGTATGAGTTTCCACGGGAGAAAATCAAGTTGGGAAAGCAGCTTGGAGCCGGTGCTTTTGGTGTTGTTATCAAGGGAATTGCACAAGGCATTGTTCCGTATGAAGAAGAAACAACGGTTGCTGTCAAAATGGTCAAGAAAATGGCTGATAATGAGGTATGTTCTGAAATTTTTCTGAGTCGAATTTATATTTTTCGCAGCGAAAATTTCGCTTCAGTGAACTACACTCGTTTCTTCCAAATTTGATCAAAGTTTATTTAATCAATTGTTTCATTTTTTTCTCTGTATTTTGGTAAAAATCAGGTGATGCGAGCGCTTATATCAGAATTGAAAATCATGGTACATTTGGGTCAACATTTAAATGTGGTAAACTTGCTTGGAGCTGTCACTAAGAACATTGCGCAACGTAAATAGACATTTTAATGAAAAAAAAATAGACAAATTGGAGAAATATCGCTAATTTTCCCTCAATTCTCCAGGTGAAGTGATGGTAATTGTTGAGTATTGTCGATTTGGTAATTTGCAGAACTTCCTTGTGAAGCATCGACGCTATTTCATTGATCAAATTGTTCGGGACAAAGATATAATCGATCCATCGATTCAAACCAGAGACCCAAGATGGTCAAACGACAGTGGCTACTCATACTTCAACAGGTAACGTGAATTTGAAAACGTTTTCTACGAAAACGAATCGTTTGCACTCTAGTCACTAACGATACACTAGATCCGTAGATGATAACAAAGAGTTGCTTAAATTAAACTCTTTTTTTTCTTTCCATTGCCTATTGAAAAAAAAAACTTGCATTGAGTATAGTCTAACCCGATACCGCTTTGCGGTGATGATAACGCATTTTGTTTGTTTGTTTTTTTGCTAATTCAGTCATAAAGCCAAATTGAAAATCAATTATTCATTGTTTCTGATATTTTGCTTGCTTCCATTTGCATTTGTTACCGGCTTTTTTTCCATTCATGGGTAATTTGAGGTGGCGGTTTGTGTGCATAATTAACCATTTGTATTTCTTTCTTTTCTTTTTTTCCGTTTTGGTTTTTTGGGTACTACTTTTATCTATATTCTCGTATGTAAACTGTGTTTGTGTAAACTTCTAAATAACCTGCAACTTATCCCGTTGGTGAAACCAATGCTTTAAACCACCAAAAAAACACCATCTAATCCTCTAACTATGCCACTTGCAACATATAAATATGCAGTAGTCTTGGATTAAAATATATTCAATTATACTTCCCGAATAAACAACAACAATTATTAAAAAATCACTACGAAAACAACAATAGACCCGATACCGATCGACAATCTGTCGTTAATTCAGCGTACATTCGACATTCAAACGCCGGCGATTACTTCCCAGGTGGAATGGACAGTGCAAACACAGAGGCAACACTTCTATCCCGTAATACGCATCCAGGCGGTGAGTTGGATATACATTTTGGGACGATTTTTTTTGAGAATATTTGCAACAAAATTCTCTTTTTTTCCCCCATAGGCGAAGAAAATCCGGCGATGTCAGACTCGCAGCCCGGGTGGCGTTCAAATTATCAAAGCGATTATAAAGGTCCGAGTCGGTCCGTTACAACGACCGACTTGCTTTGCTGGGCATTCCAAGTGGCACGAGGAATGGAGTACCTGGCATCGCGTAAAGTTTTGCATGGCGATTTAGCCGCAAGAAATATTCTACTTTGCGATGACAATGTGGTGAAGATTTGTGATTTCGGTTTAGCGCGATCGATGTACAAAACGGATAACTATCGCAAAAAGGGAGAGGTAATGAACAAATTGGTTTTGGCCATTAATCTAATTCAAAAATTCATTTGGAGTAAAAAAAAAAACCAAAGTCAGATTCAGTTTAGAATTGAAATTCATGAAATAAAACTGTTTGTTTTTATCGTTCACAGGCTCCTTTGCCGTTCAAATGGCTCGCCTTAGAATCGATCAGCGACCAAGTCTTCAGCACATACTCCGACGTTTGGAGTTTTGGAATTGTGTTATGGGAGTTGTTTTCATTGGGTAAAGTGCCATATCCTGGAATGGATGCTGATCAAGCATTGTATTTCAAATTGAAAGACGGCTACCGTATGGAGAAGCCAGATTTTGCAACACAAGACATGTAAGATTCGAATAAAACCAATTCCAATCGAGAAAATTGAAACTCTTTTCAAACATTTTGCATTGGTTCTTCTCAACAAAGTATTCTGTTTCGAATTTCCATCTTATCTCTGATCATTTTTTCCATCTTCGTTTTCCAGTTATGATATAATGTTGTCGTGTTGGTGTACAAATCCCGAATCGCGTCCATTGTTCGACGATTTGGAGAAGAGTGTTTCAAAGTTGTTGGAGAATGGTGTAGCCGAGCATTACATCGATTTGAATGAGCCATATTTAAAATCGAATGTGAGCCACTTCAACGAGGGACAGACGGATTATATTGCCTTAATGGGAGCGCCGGATTGTCAAGCGCCACGTACACCGAACCAATACGTGAACAGTCACGTGATCACAATGCAAGATGCATCGAATGCACAAAGCCAACCAGATTACTTGGCAATGAGTCCACCGGTAGATGTCAACTCACCGCGGCCCGACGGTCTCGATACACATGACTCGCATTTCCCATTCGCGGGAATGAATTCGCCTACGATAGTGAATAACCTGAACGCCTCGCAGAGTTCACCAAAGCTCCGCAACAAAATATCAAATATACCCGAAGAAATACCGATGCTCAAACGATCGAACCAATCGTTTCACAGTGATTCCGATTCGGAACTCAACACAACCGACGTAGTCGAAAGTATACCAGTTACCAATACACCGCGTAAAAATGTGAACGTACTGAATACAATGGCCGATAATTACGTGAATGTGCCATCGTCAAAAGTCACTAACAACAAGGATGCGGTGAGCAATCCGGGCTACGTGACCGTTTCAAATATCAACGAAACAAGGACTTGAAATGTAGGCGTGCAAAATGTTCACAATAGATCTTAAGTTTTGTCTCATTTAAATTGTTGTTGTTATAAATGTCGCTTTAACTGTGAATATACCAAGAAACATGGAATTTAGATCAATTTTTTTGTACAATCGAATTGAAATGTGCGGTAAAATTTGAATATTGTTGGGTGTTTTCTAAAGAGTCTTTTTATAAATGGCAATTCGTTTCTGCTTTGCCGCCATTTCCAAGAAGTTGCAATATGAATGCCAGCTTAGCTACAGTACACTGTTAGGCAATTTTTTTGTTAGTAACAAATGACAATGGAAATAAAGAGAAGATGAATTGACGGCCTGAGAAGAAAAACCTTTCCTACAAAACCTGTGCGCAGAACACAAACACAGAAATTGTTTAGTCAAAAGGCGAACAGCAAATTTGCGAGTGCAAAAACCTAATATATTTACAGCGAGCGCAAAAACCTAATATATTTACAGCGAGCGCAAAAGCATAACAGGCATACTTATACGGAGTTTGCATGCTAGTAGGCTTGTTATACTTTTGCGCTCGCTGTAAATATATTAGGTTTTTGCACTCGCAAATTTGCTGTTCGCCTTTTGACTAAACAATTTCTGTGTTTGTGTTCTGCGCACAGGTTTTGTAGGAAAGGTTCTTCTTCTCAGGCCGTCAATTGTAATGGTTTTGTATGTTGTTATATATAAGAAAAACGAATGAAATTTTATGTAACAAATGAAATTTATTTTGGAAACATAAATGTGAACTGTATTTGTCGGACGCACTCAAAGCAAAATCCATCATCATTCATAAGATTTAAATTGATTTATTATATTATTGACAATATGCATTTCGGAAATGGTATATTGATGTTAGGTTGCCTTAAAGGTTTTGACAGAACCACGAAAGAGCTCTACTCTCTAAATGATGCTCTTTTGTACATGCTCTATGAAAAACAACTGTTTTTCAAATTACAAAATTACTTAATTAGCTTGAAACTATGTAAGATATATGATCAACGAAACGTACAAATTATCTATTCTATTCTAAATGACGACGATGCGACGAAGATGAATTGAATACTACTTTTTTATACTAAGAACCAGCACCTTCATTTTATCTATTCAAACTATATTTTTCATTCATAGTCATGCTCTTTTAGACGGTCCAAATGGAAATAAACTTCATATTTAGTAAATGTAAATTGAAAGAATGGATTGTTTTCATTTCAATCCGCTTGCGATTCAGTGTAATAATGACGTTATTTGGGTAAGATTAAACCAAGTAAGTGTCTATTCTCTCGTCTTATTTATTGCTACCAGCGCAGATGTTTTTGTACATTTTCCAGTATTATTTCTTACCATTTTATATCATGGTGTTATCTTTGAATTTATCTGACTTTCTCTGGGAAAGAATGAAGACAATTCTCTTGTATTTTGTTGAAGAAATGGTATTCTCCATTTATCGTAGCATTTCCATGATTTGTTCATAACTTTTGCCTTTGTCTCTGGCAAGAATAGGATGATCAGAATGGCACCAGATAGGCATACTCCAGCGAATAGGAACCAGGAATGCTACCATGAAAATCAAGAATTTCATTCAACAATGGTAAAAATTTAATGACCAGAAATCCGCAAAACCATATGACTGTCAGGCACAGGGTTGCACCGAAATTCTTGATTTTTCGGGCAACACTTCTAGAATGATGACAAATGGCAATGACATAACACCCCAAGCTGCCACCAATAAAATGGACGAAAAACTCGCATCATAACCATCATAGGGTGGAAGCATCAACAAAATTCAAATTGGCACGCTGTTTAGTTCAGAAAAAAATTACGAAATTACATTGATTTTCCTATTCGAATTGGAGGCGCTCGCGTCGCCACAGTTGTTTTCGGTCTTAGCTTCCACCCGATGATAACCATAAGACTTGAACAGCATGTATGTTCCCATAACGCAATAAAACGAATTACATACGTAATCCAAACTTTTCCGCTCCGCAGCAATTTAGTTTACCTCCCGCTTAATGTTTAACCAAAATTTCAATAGACCCTTTTTTCGTAGCATTTTTGACCTTAAAATATAACTATTTCGACCATTTTCCATACAAAAGTGTCATTTTCGAACAAAATTTCAAGAAATGTTGATTTCGGACCAAATTTATGGGCAAGTAGGTGTTCGGTTGTTCGGAGGCTCCATTATTCTTGCAAAAAAATATCAGTTTGCTTTGACCAAAACCCTAAAAAATGGCTTTCTGAGTGATTTTTTTATACAAAAGTCTATTTTTCGAAGAATATTTCAAGAAATGTCGATTTCGGACCAAATTTATGGGCAAGTAGGTGTTCGGTTGTTTGAAGGCTCCCATTATTTTTGCAAAAAAACATCAGTTTGCTTTGATCAAAACCCTAAAAAATGGCTTTCTGGATGATTTGATTTTTTATACAAAAGTCTATTTTTCGAGGAAAATTGCAAGAAATGTCGATTTTGGACCAAATTTATGGGCAAGTAGGTGTTCGGTTGTTCACAGACTCCCATTATTTTTGCAAAAAAACATCAGTTTGCTTTGACCAAAACCCTAAAAAATGGCTTTCTGTGTGATTTTTCATATAAAAGTCTATTTTTCGAGGAAAATTTCAAGAAATGTCGATTTTGGACCAAATTTATGGGCAAATAGGTGTTCGGTTGTTCACAGACTCCCATTATTTTTGCAAAAAAATGGCAGTTTGCCTTGATCAAAACCCTGAAAAATGCTTTTTACGGGTACTTTCCGTACAAATGTACAATTTTTGAGGGTTTTTCTTAGGAGAGGTACCCCAAGGTCACATCGGATATGGCTCAAAATCAATCCGAAGCTTTGTCTCGACATGCCAAAACTTTTGGCTTTTACAGATCTCAATTATCTTGTCAACTTCTTGAGATAATTGGCGATCAAAAAACGCGAACGCGAACGCGGACAACGCCATACGAACATCGCTATTTTACACATTTTTCATAGTAAACAACATGTTTTTGGAGGCAGATAGGTCTTGATCGATAGGATTTCATCCCATCTACATTGCCTAGTGTACAGATATGTGCTTTTTCAAGTTTGGCGTGACGTTATAGTGGTCCGAAAGAGGAGATGTCATGAAATTTTGGCTAGTAAAACCAATACTTTTCCATACAAACAAAGTTTGCGGAAAAGTAAAAACTTAATCCCGTTCTAATAGGTAGCAAAAAAACAAGGCCATTAAATCAATATATTCTTGAGAGTTCGTACATTTTATTCTTACTTTTCGTCCTGCACTAAGTTTGTAGCAACGCAACTTCCGAAGAATTGAATGACACCAACTACAATGGTCGCTGTATCCGGTGACACATTTGATCCAAATTCTTCAAAGATGCTTGTGGCATATGCAACCATACCAGGAACTCCACAGTATTGACTCAGAATCTTCACTCCAAGTGCAATGATTAGACCTTAACGTCCTGGATTCGTTGGAATATCCGACCAACTGAATGAATTGCCTTCACTTTTCTCGGATTCTGAAATTGTTTTCTTCAGTTTACTCATCTCCAAATGAAGTGTTTCATCACACTGTTTTTTACCACGTAGATTTTGGTAGAATTTTCCTTTTGTAAGAATAGGTTTGAAAAATTACCATAGAATAAATCGTAGCAGTGGCATATCTACCGCTAATTTATTCTGTTTCATGAGAACAAGTTGAGTTTCAGGGAACATTGTAAACAGAACACCGAATAAGGCAGCTATTACGATTGAATATTTCGGTGTTGTAAAGTAGTCACAAAAGCATCCGGTTGTGAAAACTAATAAAATCCCCAGGTTGAACCTAACACGGTAATTGATCCTAAAACGCCGCGAACACTGAAACAACCGATTTTTTGTTTATATATTTCTTTTTGGATACAAGACGAGTAACAACACATTTTTTTTCTTCTGAACTTCTTACCGATCGATTGATATTTCTCCGACGTATAACGGAACTCCGACGTAGATTCCACCACCGGCAAGGCCATTAAAGAACCGTGCCATATACCTAGGGGCCTCACGCCAATTTCCATATTTGAAATATGAACAAATAATATGAATTTTTTTATGTTTCAACATATTAAACAGTGGACAACTGATTCGTTTGATTCTGTTACAAATGAACCCATTATGCTTGTTTTATGGTTTGATCATACGTAGAGCTTCTTAAGTAATTACTTCCGAATCGTCGCTAAAACTCGCTTCCGAATTTTTCATAGAGCTATCCAACATGCCCATCGAATACTGGATTGTCATGATATCCTTTATGCAGAGACATTTTCTCATTTTCACCAATGATTTCTGTGGTGTCTGTATCAATGTAATTTCCATTTTCGGCATAAATTAAATGGCCATTTGAATTTTCGTCCAATCTTCACACCTTTCAGCTTCGAAAGTACTGAATCAATATTCAATCTTTTGGATGAAATATTATCAACACTAAATATTTTCTCATGTTTAAAAAAGGTAAATTCAAGTACAGCATTCTACAAATTACAAATTTCTGTTAGTCATTTCAAGTTATACAATTTTCAATGGGTAGAACTAACAAACCCTCAACACGTTTTCCCTATCATCTTCAAAAATAAAACGCGTAGCTTCAGGAAGGCATCATCATTCAAATAAGCTGTTGTCATAAATTAACGGTTGTTCAACTGTCTGTTGCTCATACGGTAACAACATTTCGAGTTCTATTGTTTTCCTTTGGCGTAAAAGTTCCCTTGAGACATAATTAGCATCACAGCCCTGTGCGGGATAAAACGAAAATCGTCATAAAAAAACCGAAAATCGTCATAAAAAACTCGAAACTCGTCATTTACTTAGTTTCATCATCAGAGAATGTATTTGGCTAATGTCAGCTAGCTAACTGAAAACATTGTGGCTGGCTCAGCGGCTGAATTCTATGCGTTGCGTTTTTTCATCGCATCTGCAGTACAAAAATCATATATATGGGGATTTTTGTTTTGTTTATTTTTTGTTGTTTGTAAACAAATCTGCCTATCTTTTTGCATTGTCACTGTGCATAGTGCACAGTATATGTCCATAGAAAATGTGCAGAGGCAATGCAAAAAGATAGGCAGATTTGTTTA